TAGCATGCATATTTCATGGAACAGAGGGACTGGATTTATTGGAATGTATAGCCTGTCCTGTGCAAAGATCAGAGATAAACGTGTGCCATTCTAAAACAAGAGATGGAGCCATCTGGTAAACTATGCACATCATTTTCAGTTTGCAAGGCATAATTTGTCATCAACATTTTGTCCTCCTTTCATAATTAAAATGTATGTCTGATCTAAGAAGACAATCAATTGGAACATTTAAAAAGTAGACTGTGTAGAGATTCATGATTAGAAACAATCTGTATTTTACAGTAATACATTACAGTGACTATATCGCTTTTCAGCTTAGAACAATGATGCAACATGTAATTGTTTTTCCTCATGCAACTGACAGTCAGATAAGTATAAATTATTTTTGTGGTAAAAAAATATATATATAATAGAGACAAAACAGTTTGAAAAAAGGAACAAAAACAGTGCCATGGCAGAAACATTTTTAAAATGATATTCATTATACCATTCAAAAGTTTGGGGTCAAGATTTTTTGATGTTTTTGAAAGGTCTCTTATACTCACCAAGGCTACACTCTAAAAAATGCTGGGTTAGTCCATATTTGACCCAACATTGGGTTGAAACAACCCAGCATTTTTTAGAGTGTACATTTATTTGATAATATTGTAAATATTACAATTTGCAATCACTTTTCTATTATATTTTAAAATGAATGAAATGACGCAAAGCTGGATTTTTTTTTATCAGCTATTATTCTAGTCTTTAGTGTCACATGATCTTTAAGAAATCTTTCTAATTAGTGAGAAACATTTCTTATTTTTATTGATGTTGAAAACAGTTGTCCTGCTTGTGGATTTTTTCAGGATTCTTTAAACAGATTTTTAAATATAAACTTCAAAAGAACAGTATTTATTTTAAATGTATTTTGGTCTATTATATTGTCTCTTGTCTTTACAGATTAATTTGATGCAGTTTTTTTAATCCTACAGACCCAAATCTTTTGAATGGTAGTGTAAATATGTAAATAAATAAGTACATATATATATATACATACATACATACATAAAAGTCCATATATACATTAATAACATAAAGGAATTAAATGTTAAAACATATCTTGTTTTAAAATTAAAGTTAACATTTAAACCCTGGAAATGCTAATGACTGACTGTGCTACTATAATTCAGAGACAATGTATTAATGCCATCAGCTTATTCATCATTTATCATTAATGCATCAACTTATATTGTAATTTAGCAAAGCACATAAACACTGTATCATTATAAATAATCTGTTATGCTGGGACATAGACGAGGTGAGGCAGATCCAAATGCTAGCAGTTTAGCGAACAGAAACATAGAGAAAGGGCAGAAGCAAGACCAGAAATCCAAGACAAGAGCATCAGTTGGGAAAACATGAGGGAAAAAGGCAACGAAGAGCTACAAACTATAAGAGTCCATGAACAGAGACACAGACAGGGTTTGTGACATAATCATAAGCATGTTGGTAGCTGTCATGTCAATAGACTGTATAAAGACACCTGAGACAATACAGTAGCTTCTACAGACACTAATTGCTACACAAGTTTGCTCCACCAGTTTCATCGAAAGTAATTTGAGCGTGTAGCATTTCAAGACACGTAACCCAGTGCTGAAAATAACCCTTGAACCTGGACTACATCAGTCAAACCAAAGAAAAAGCAAAAGAGAGATGAGAGCGATATGAAAGAACTCATCAGAGTGTATGTAACCTGACTGTTTTATCCTTTCATAAAGGAGACAACCTCAGGGGAAACAGTTTCTCTAATTGTAGCTGCAGTGTTCTATAGAAATTCACGTCATACAGAAACCAAGCTTTTGTGTTTTACATCTAATCAGCAGCTACTAAAGGCAGCAGATGTTTTCCAGATGATATTTAAAGGAAAATCCCTTTGGGTTACAGTTGCATTGGAAATGGTTATCTCTTGTTTATGGAACAATTTAAATTATTGCGTTGTTATTGTTAACTAAAACTAAAACAACAATAAAACTATTAAAAAGCTGAAATAAATAAAAAAAATAATTTGAGATAAACTTGATGTAAATGAAAATCTGAAATGTTGGCATGGCAACTAAATAATTTTTTAAGAAATATAAAAAAAAAATAGCACATGACATAGCAAAAAATAAATGAAATCAAAATAAACTAAAACTAAAATGAAAATGGAAAATATACAAAAAAATGAAAACCAGAAAAAGACCAGATGAAACTTCTAAATTATCTAAGCTAACAGAGTGTGTTAAAAATGTAAAATCTAATTCAAAATATTAATAAAAGTATAATAGCATATAAATAATTCTTAAATAATACTAAAAATACTTATGACAACACATTTTCATGGCAATTCAGTTTTTTTCATTCATATGAATCCATACGATTTTATACAATCTGATTTTGTGTTATAGGTTATAGGGGTATACCTTCATGCTAAGCCTATTTTTCCCCCTCTAAAATCACGTTTCTGTAAAAATCGAATTCATACAAATTCCCCATGAGATCGGGTTGATTTCGGGTGCAATTTATATGAAGAGAACATGAAGAAATCTCACAGTTCATTGTATAATAATAAGCCAATGGCACACTGTATCATTTTCATATGTAAACTATAAAGTACCAGATACAAGCAAATGGAAATTCATGCAAACAAAATCAGCTCATTTCATGTTTGAGAAATATACCCTTCAGATTAATGAGCAGATGTGAGCAGTCCACTCAGAAGAGACAGACTGCAGTCAGGTGATTAACGTATGAGTGACAGCAACAACCTATAACTAGCGATAAATACTCATTAAGACTAGAGTCAACAGGGGTTTCCACTCACAATACTCACTGCTGAGAGCCGTGAGCCACAGCAGTCTAACATACTAATTAAAAGGCTCCTTAACACAACACCTCATAATGCTTAACACCGTAATTAATCCTGCAACATAAAATGAATAAACTGATATACATAATTACATTCAGGGTCAACGCTGATTAGTTTAATTATTAAGAATTATTATATATGTTTTAGTAGAGTCCTGCACTTGTGCAAACAAAATCCAAAATGTTTAGTATTAAGTTTAGATTCACCTGGCCATAATGGCATGTTGATCTTTTCCATTATCATCGACAGATACGCTCTATAAATGTGTGAATTGAATCCTGATTAATGACACTTTTAGCTACTAAAAAGCCACTAAAAGCGACTAAAGATGAATTGTTCTATGCGCTGGTTGCTATTGAGCCTTGTCTCCACAGAGAAGAGCCCTTGACATTGTTGAAAGCACTTCACCAGAGAACATAAACAACATGCTTTGGCACTGTGAGACATGCTGGACTTCAAGCTGTGGAAAGGACAGGCTCCTGGCATGTGGTTCTATTAGATGACGTTCACCCGAATGAAATGTTCTTCATTTAATTCATTTTTTTTGTGCAAGCGCCTGCGCTCCTGTTTGCTGAGAAAACTGTTATATTGTCAATTATGGAAATTGTTGTAACATAATAAAAGAACTAAATTAGCTTAATTGTTCAACCAGTGGTGCAAATGTCTCATTAGCCACTGTACATGGACTAAGCACAATCCAGGCTCATTGGAAAATGCACTGCAGTTTCCAGCAGAAATATAAAGCAGTAAAACACAGACAACTTTTATTCCTTTTCACACAAATTATGATTAAGGGGGCAGATTATTGATTAATAAAGTCTTGTGCAGGGTTCCTTGAACAATACTGTGTAAACTAATGCATTTTGAAGTTATTATATATCAGCTCCATATATGGCTTTTTTGGCATAGTAAACTTGCTCATTAGCTCACCTGGTACAGCATTGTATTTGCAATGTGGAGCGCTCGGGTACGAGTCCTGTGAAACAATCACAATAAATGAGTTCAAGGACTTATAGAAGCAAGATTAAATGGCATTGTTCCTTCGGTGAGTGTTTTTATCTCATGTTTACTTTTTGTTAACACTATCAGTTAAATTTAGGGTAGGGATTAGTATAGGTGGTACGTTATTTGCACATATGATAGAACATTTAAAGGCCAAACTGCCACCATATGTATAAAAACCAACATAATAAGACTGCACCAGATTCATGTTCATCTGTTTTGGATAAAACTGAACGTCCAGTTAGCGCCACTCACTGGAACATTTGACTTTCAATGTGTTGTGAAAAAATGCAAGAAGCAACATAATATTATTTCGCATAAATGTTGCCACAGGCACATATTTCCAATGAGCCTGGCTTGGCTAAGAAACAGCAGTCTAAATGGAACCTCTACTGAAACTTGAGCATTTATGGATGATGAAGTCACAGGTACTGCTAATGCCACTCACCGACATTTAATTTCCAAACTGCCACCATATGTATAAAAACCAACATAATAAGACTGCACCAGATTCATGTTCATCTGTTTTGGATAAAACTGAACGTCCAGTTAGCGCCACTCACTGGAACATTTGACTTTCAATGTGTTGTGAAAAAATGCAAGAAGCAACATAATATTATTTCGCATAAATGTTGCCACAGGCACATATTTCCAATGAGCCTGGCTTGGCTAAGAAACAGCAGTCTAAATGGAACCTCTACTGAAACTTGAGCATTTATGGATGATGAAGTCACAGGTACTGCAGTGCTGTAGCAATGTCTCATGAGGGACAAGATAAGGGTAGGGAATGACAGCAAGTCAGCTGAGCTGCTGACAGCAGGACCCTTGAGAGGGCACACAATGTTCTCTGTAATACAAAGACAGGATTTTTCAAAGAAAAATGAGAGTTAGGTAGAAAGCGAGCAAATGGGTGCGGACAAATATGAAAGAATGTGAAACAATATAAGAGTGTTCTTAAACTGCTATTCCTAAACAGACAACTTCATAGCTTTGTCTTTCAGAAACCTTTAGCTTTGGTTCGCATCATATTCTTTGAGTCTCCTGGTGTCATTAAAAGGTCATCCTCATCCAAGGCTCCAGAATTGCATTGTGTTCCTGCTGTCACTGCTGAAAGTGTGTCTTTTACATTATAGAGCAGGTGAATCCACAGCACTCTTTCAGCAAAGTGAGGCCTGTCTTGGTTACAAAGGGAGTAGTCTGCTGGGCTCTGGGCGGCCTTCTCCCACTGCGGGCAACACCTACATACACGAGTTTCATAGACAAAGAGTTGTTTTATACACAAAGATGCAATGACTAGAAGTAAACCATTTTAACTGAGTTTAACAAGGTAATAAGAACATTTTCCCACCACAGATCTATCTAATACTTAAAAACATTCTCTATTAGTTTATTAAGCAGGAGTTTTTAAGAATTTAATTGAAAACAATATGTGTTCTCAAAATATGAAACATGTTTGGTTTACCCTGACTGGACAGAATCTGAGTCTGAAGCTAAAAAATATGAGACTGTGACCATCACACACTATGCAATTTTCTATTAAATCTCTATTAAAGCACTAATTTTTGGCAACTAGTGTCAGTTTGTCCAGACTGTAAATTGGGGCAAAATTCTGAGCAAAAATCATGTACTGTACAGCCTTTAGAGTTAGTTAGGGCTGTGTGAGAGGCTAAACCATTTGAAACATAGCCAGTGACTAATGTTTACAAAATATCCCACCTTATTTGTATTCTAGTCACCCTATATGCAATAAAGAAGTTTCATATTTTAACTGCATGACCAATAAAATCATAAACATTACTTTTGTTCTACCAACCATAAAAGAATGACTTACTCTTGGTTTGAGAGCTTTTTGGTAGTTTGGACTTGAGAAATTCAGCCATCTCTTTGTCCTCCTCCCGTTCCCTGTACAGCAGAAGTAATATGGTGATTATGAAGCAATGCATTGTGTGAAGACTGACTGTATCATTTGCTATTTATGCATGGCCTTCATGTCCTTCAGTTAGCTCAAGGTTTTCATGTTATTGCTGGGAAATGTAATCTGAAAATATAATGTCAATTCATGTATCATGCAATTCTCTTTCTTTATTTGTTCATGGTATTCTGCTGGCTTTACAAAAGACTTCTGCTCAGTGGAAGTGAATGGTTTGCAACATGTTACATGACTTCCATTCCAGCCTTTGAGAACTGGCTGGAAATGGACCTACACTGTGATGTGCTCCACGTGTTTAACACCAGCTGGACTAAAAATACATCCAGTTTTTCCTCAGCTGATAATTATTAACATGGAGCTCCAATATAGTAATTATTCCTTTGCACTGATTATACAAATGCACTAAAACTGAAAGAGTTTTTTTGGGTTAAATGCATTTACATTATGTTAATATGATTACATTGTTATACACAAGGCAAAACACTGGATTCAAAGTCAAGATTCAATCGCAAATTTGTGCAGATGCCACAAGCACTGAGCAGACTTTTCTTGAATTCAATTCCTGACGTTGCTGAGACAGGATGTGGCAGCATGGCTTTATTACAAATAAAATCCTATTACTTCTGTACTTAGAGGGTGAGTAATGTTTTTTTTCCCTCAGGCCTTAGACAGAATTCTGTCTGCCCCAGAATTGAGCTCAGTCAGAGATTTAATAAAGGGTGCAAATGAAGTGTGTCAGCCTCCTTCATTTCCCAGCATGCTAAAATCGGCTTACCTGAGACGCTCAAACTCCACGTCATCTACTAAGAAGTCTCTGGCCTCCACTAATTTATGAATCTGTTTCAGAAGCTCTTCCTCCTTCTGTTTGTCTTCGTTAGACTTGTCATTATCTGAAAATGAATTTTTATTTTTTTACCAAGCAACAGCTTTCATTGTCATGCTTACTAAGACCAGGCCACTTCTTATACGCTAACAGAAACACACAAGTGTTTATCAAAATAATTTCTGCAAAGCAAGTTTGGAATTAATATATTGGCTTTATTAGTAGTGCATGTTGTGCTACTTTTAGAAAACTGTAAAAGCAATTGAATAACGAGAGAGATCTCAAATTTTAATCAGTAACCTCAGTAAAGGTATAGTTGAAGGAGCTTTTACAGCTGTACTGTAAAAAACATTAAACAGTATTTCTTTCATTTTTACTCTAATTTATTCCAGAGGCTTTCCCAGATCTCACCTGGGATAGACAAAAGCTTTTGAAGCTCTTTCTTCAGTCTTGTAATTTCTTTACATAACTGGATATCATCCATCCTGCAAAACAAAAGAACAGGTAAATATGATAACACTGCACTGTTCTAAAGCATGCAGAAGCATTTACAGTCTTCACTACAAAAAAATTCTGCTTCATGAGCAACATTACTGAACCAACTAAAATATGTGACACCAACAAAACTGGCTTTTAAATAAAAGTAGCTTTTTAAGTGAATAAAAATAACTTTTTTTAAATAATAGTTGCAGGGTCACATGTTTTACAGTGTTGAGCGTGTAAAAAGCTTCACAGTGTGACTCAGTGTTTATTTTGCAATGTTCGGAATGGAATACCAGCTAAAACTTGAACACTGAACACTGTATACTGTCTAATTCATTTAATAGTAATTAAAACAGTAAGCTTTATCCTACCATAAACATCTCAAACAGACATTTTCTACACTGTTGTCACATGACCTCATGGTGTTGAAAATAACATTTAATGAAAGCATCCAGTTTACATTTTGTTCTCAAATTTTGTGTGAAAGCATTGCATTTTTGGATGCAGTATTCCATGCTGTAAGCTCTGTTGCTTACTGTTCATTTTGGCAGTTGCAGTAGGTCACCCATGCATACAGAAAATGTGCGTATTATACACAGTATGCCTACTATATACTGCAGTGGCAATGAGAGTCTGAACACTGCCCATGCATCCTGAACTTATTAGTATTCGTAGGTATTTGTTTGTAGTTAACACATTCATTTTTGTACAACTGGCTCCTTTGAGTCCCTAACCCCACTCTAAATTTAACCAATTCTCATCAATACAAAATCAGATCTATACAAGTCAGATAAGTGTATTTAATAATAATAACAGTTTTTATTAGTTTCAATATAGATAAGTCTATGTTGAACATCTGGATAGCTGCAACACAGTGACAATTTGGGATGCAAATAGATATTTTTATACAGCAATGAAATTTAATGTAAGCAAAAATAAAAAAAAAAAGTTTAAATTATGATATATTTGTCTTTTTTGCTGTCTAAACGCAAGCAAAGATGCTGTCAATATGTTTGCAATGTAGTCAATGTTTCAATGTATATGCAAACAAAAACAAGTGATAATGTACTCATGTACCAAGCTTTCTAATGATATCACTGCTTATTAGATTAAATTATTTGAACCACTTAAATCGTGATATTCAAAGAATTACACATGGCAGCTTTTTAACTCTAACCTGCAAATGTTAGAGTTTAGTTTTTGTGGTATAAATTCATATTTTTACTTTAATAAAACCAGTTAATTAAGATGTTACCATTTTGCATGCTACTCGTGTCAGATAGTAGTATTTAGAGTGCATTCAGTCCCTGAATTGTAAACCAAATACGGTTTAATGATGAAGCTGTACCATTGGATTTCTCTCTGTATCTCTTCGGTTCAGTTGAGACAGACTGTGGAGGCTGCGCACCAATCAAACACGTGGGAAGAAACGCCCCACTGATTTTGTGATAGCCAAATCTCTTCCCCAAACGATTGTGAGGGGAAACCAATATCAATGCATTAGACGCTCTGGCAGCATCAAAAGCAAAGCATTAACATCTTAATGAGGGGCAGCTGGCTGATTGTAGCTCTTGGTAATGGGAACAGGAAGGACAGATGACTGCAGATGTGATGGTGAGAAGAATTTCAGATCAACTTTATGAACCACTAAAGGATTGTGAGTTTGGCTGTTGACTGTCAATTATAATTGACACAATTTTACTGTTCATGTAGTGTGTTTATCTGGAATGTGAAAATGTAATTAAAGAAATCACTTCTGTTAATCTAAAAACATTAATGACATGGATACAGTTTGAACTTATTTTGAAGTGTTTGACATGTACAGAACAAAACCACAACGTAAATATTAATATGTAAGGGTTAATTTACAGTCAGCAGGTTGTTATTGCTAAATAAACCCAGAAATGGTGATTAGGACCCAAATGGACTGTGAATAATTGATTTGAGTTTAACTTATTTTATCACATGCAAAGAAAGAGACTGTAGAGTGATTCATGAAAAAAATTGCCTGGGCAACGGTAGGTTATACAGGTAAAATGGCCTTTTTTAATTTTAACCATGAATGATAACTATAACTATAAAGTTATAATAATTGTTCAAATTCTATAAGAATAGGGAAGTCCACAGCTGTAATGATAATGACAGAGGACTGATATTGTTGGAATTACTTTCAGAACGATTTTCGTCAGCTGATGAATGATAAAAAAACATTGAAAGCCAATCAGAATTCACCAAAGAACTCAAGCTGGACGATTTTAGCAATCCTATAAGATCACTGCAGATCACACTGTACGACATGGATCTAATAAACTTGGGTAAGACGTGCATGTTACTATAGAAGAATGAAATGTCATCAGCATGCGCTAGTGGTAAACAACAAGAGCATGATGAATCACACTTTAGCAGTTGTAGTTTTATGTGTGCTGAAAAAAAATTGGAAGCTGCGAAAGAGGAAGGGATAGGAGCTTGAGGTAAGCAGTTTTATGTTTTAGCGCCATGACAACGATGACAACGGCCGTCTTTGAACCTCTCTCACTGTATGACATAGGAACACCGATTAGGAGCCACAATCACAGAAATCACCACGATTGTTTCACCATGCCTGTCTATCATCTGGGACAGACGAAAATCATACAGTGTGTCTCGGGCTTCAGACAACATAAATGCATATAGTCATTGTACTTGTTGTGAACGAGTCTTAAAGGTGCTGTATGTCATTTTTTGAGTGTACTCATAAAAAAATACCATAATATGCTAAGTTCACATACTTGTTTCTCTGAAAAACAATGCTACAGCCAGTTATTCTACTTTGAAATGGGTGCTCTGTGTCTGAATGTCTCTTTTTGTTTTGGTCTGTGTGATTCCAGCCACTGCCAATTTACCCAATGTTATTTTGACACACCGGGTTGCCAATTGATGGAAAACACAGCGTTGTAGCCATAGAAACCAGTAAACAAACTGGGTCAGAGACTGCAGATTCTCCCCAACCTAAAAAGCCTCGGCATCCATCTAAAAAGTTCTATGACCAGAAGCATATTAAAACGCAGACAAATCAACTCATTAACCATGTTAGGCTTGTCGCCTTCCACTGTCAATTGCGCTCTTTTCAACTGTTTGTTATCAATCTGGCAACCCTCGTGAGCTTCGAGTCTGAGGAGGAGGGGGCAAAAAAAAACAACTCTCCTTCAATATTTTGAATTTGGACTGCAGTGCAGTTGTCAGTATTACATACTGCCCCTGCAGTCATTATACAAAAATATTTGACCACAGAATGCTGAGACTGGTCAATCAGAATGAAGTACTGTATTCAAAAGAGTTGTGTAATACGTATAAATACAGTGTGGTCTTGGACATTTAGACATATGCAATTCAAATATGCTATTCAGGTTTAAAATTTCTAAAAGAAACGATATAACCCATAGAAGATTATCTTTGAAACATTCTCAAATCATGATAGATACAGTAACATGGATCACCAAGTTTTGCACAAAGCTGTAGTGCAGTAGTTGTCAACCAGGGGGGTTGACAACTACTGCCATCCATCCATTCTCAAAACAACTTGTCAAGGAAGCCACAGGATGACATGACATTTTCACTAGTTTTCAGTCACAGACATTTAGGCCCCATGGTATATATCAGGGGCATTTCCTCCAAGGAGGCAAGGGAGGCAGTGCCTCCTCAAAATATTGGATGAGAAAAAAATTTGTAGTACAAAAATAAAAACGCCAATATTACAAAATATTAAATGAAAAAATGTAGAAATCACTTGTTTTTTTAATAGAAACACTGTGCAACAGTGACACCAGCAGGTAAAGTTACAGCAGGAGTCCACATCTCTCTTGCCTCCCCTGAGCCCACTGAATTTTAATAGACTTGGGGTCTGGGTGACCCCCTAAAGCATGTGGTGAGTTTGCTGGGGGGTAATTGAGAATGAATGGGGGAAAGTCACGTGAGAGGAGGCAATGCCTCCATCACAATATGATTGGATATGACTGGTTATATTCGCCTGTGATTGGTTCATGCGATAAATCCCGCCTCTTGTGTTTGCAAACGTTCTGTTCATGAATCAGTCTGAATGAACAATATAATGTCGTTAATGGGAAGACTAATTTAAAAAGGAAGTAAAAAACTCACACACTAAATATAACTATTTTGTTATGTAAAAATAATACTTAAAATGGCATAAAACATGATCTGTGGGAGTTTTTAGTGAGTAATTAGTTTGGTGAAATTTAAAGTAAATCTTCATGTCTGTGACCAATATTTAACAAGCTTTGATGACTGTTGATCTGAAAAATTCAAAATGAGTTAAAATTAACTATTAAAAAGAATAGCTAAACATAAGTTCACAAATAAAAGATATTGTTTAAATTGTTACTGCCTTAATTAATTATTTTGAAATAAATGTAAAATGATTAAAAACACTAACTTGATGAGATTCATACTTGGCATTAATAAATAGAATATTGATTGCACTGTTAAAGTAAAAATATAAAATATAATTGTTTTTTGTTTTCCTTTTCTGATAGTGTAAGTAATGTTTATTTAACCAAGAAAATGTGACTGGGACATGAATTTACATTTGATTAAAAAAAAACTTTGAGGTCTTTGCCTCTTTATTTCAGAACACCATCACACACCACTGGTATATATCATAAATATTTACATGTAAAAATCAGTTTACTTACATGTATCTGAGCTCAGATTCCCTCCTGATCAAAATGTCTCTGATCCGTTCAATCTTATAGAGTTCCCCCTCTATGTCTCCCACTGTGATAGTAGAGTCTGCCATTGAGACCACATCTGCCTCTGAAAACACAGAAAACAAGAAGATCTGGACTGAAGCCACACTGATCACGACCACAAAGCTGAATACAGCTCAGATTGCGTTCTATAAGAAAATATCAAATTTAATGAACGTCTTCTCTCTCAAGATTAGCAGTGCTTGTGTAGGATTTCTGAAAAATGAGGTACATTTCAAGATGCACCAGTCTGTTGAAATCAATTCACCATCATTACACCTCCTTCCTGTTGCAAATTTAAAAATAGCTAAACAACCACTGAGCCTCTTTACAGATCACAATTAAAGGAAGCGTAAACTAAACCTATACAATTCCTTCAGGTCTATCGTTAGTACCTTCTTCCTATTCTCGAAGAGGTTCTCAAAACCTCTTCAGTGACTTCCTCCGTATTCCTCCAGTACCAATAAATCAAATCTTTAGCAGCAGCAGAAAATTGCAAGCATGTCCAGGTTACCCGACTCGGCTGTCAGACAACAAATTATTACTTGCAAGGGTTTAGGAGGCCTAGCATAACTCTTCCCCTGATCCTACAATTGGTTATGTCACTGCTGATGTCTCCAGTGGCATTGTGCACTGTCTCTTTCTCATGAGTGGCATGGTAACCGTTATGCTAGGCTGAGGCTAATATGTTCTGTCAGTTTTACTCGGCTGAGTGGCCACTCAGTTCGTGAGATAGGGAAATATGACAATATTCATTCGTAATAAAGCCTTGTTTTGTTAATATATTTCTTCAAACAATATAACATGTCTTCATTTGTTATTTAGTAACAAACCACTGTATTGACTACCCTTACGAAAAAGAAGTTTATTCAAGTGTGCTATTAGTATACTTATTTTAAACAAAAAAATAGGAAAGTATACTTTTAGTCTACTTTTTATGTACTTCTCAGAAATGGGCTTTATATACTTCTCAGAAATATACTTAAAATGACATTTAAGTATACTTGACTTATAGCCTACTTAGAAAAAGTCTAAATATATTTGAGCTATACTTGTGTTCCTAGAATCCGTGTTTTCATTGTTATATGGTAGGGGGCGCTAGTACACATTTTCTGTACAGAATTTCCAAAAAATACAAGTGAAGAAGAAACTGAAACAACAGATGCTTCCACATGTAATCTAACATGATCATCAGACATAAAAGAGCATCAAAACTGTGTAAAGTTGATGTAATGTCGACCAATGAAGAGGTAATAATGACTGTCAAGCTTTGGGGTGTTGATCGACTCTATCTATGTTTTGATTATCCAATTTGAATCCAATTCATAGTCTTTTTTTCAGTTTTTTGTTCAAAATGTTGTTTATTTATTTTTTTGTATTTTTTTATGAAACTTACCCACATTCAAGTGTTTAAAAAAAGAATGCATGAAGCTAGAATAAAAATATTTTTGTTTACAAGCAGATACCCTGTTCTTTCTTTTGGTGTTTTGTATGTTCAGATATTCATATAACAAAATATATACAAATTAATACCTAAATAGGGACATAGTAGTATACTTAAAGTATGATGTAAAGTTCACTTAAAGAAAAC